AACTTAAGACCCATATTTATGAAATAACTGGTCTAAGTCATAAAAAAGTTTCAAATAATAAAAAAATATTAGATATGAAGCATACAATATAAGCTATTTTAGATAGGCAATTTGAGGCTTCAGCTTCTTTAGCAAGAATTCAGATACATTTGGATAATACAGGGATTATACTTCCAGATGAAATAAGAGGGCAATTTGATAAAGTTGGCATATGTTTGGCTAATATTATTACTTATACTTGTACTATAAATGAAGTCGAAATGGATTATTTGGATATCCGAAATGGTCGAAATGGTCGAAATCATTTCGATCATTAGAGGCTAAAGTCACGAAATAGTCGAAATGACATCATATCACATGATTTTCATATTTAGAAAAAACAAAAAACAAAAGATGTATGATCTCGGTTAATATCGCTCCGATTCGTATGAAACAACTACTCTTCGATTTCTCACGACTATACAAATCCAATGAGCTAACATTTATTGATTTTTATCATCCAATCACGAGATACTCACAATTGTATTATCAGCCAAAATTATAAATCAATAAATTCTACTTTAAATAAAGGAGTCTGAATTTTGAAATACAATCGCATATATCTTGAGATGAGATGATCCAAAATCAATGAATATTAGCTTATTGAATTTGTATAGTCATGAGAAATCGAATGATAGTTGTTTTATACAAATCGGAGCGATATTGACTGTGATCATACATCTTTTGTTTTTTTTTTAATATAAAAAATCATGTGATATGACATAATTTCGACTATTTCAAATTTTCATTTAAACTTTGACCTCCAAAGTTGAAACATTTCGACTTTTGGGTTTACATTTCGACTTCATATATAACTGGTACAATTTGTCAATTTTGGCAAGATCAGAATATGGTAGTAGAACAAAGTGTTTGACGAGCAAAAACTCTAAGGCATCAATTGCAAGAAGTCTGAGCTAGATCACAAAATGATAACCAAATATTAACTCAAGCTCAAAATAATGAAGCAAATGAGCATTGGGTATAGTGACTTAGGACTCAAAGAGTAGGAAAGCGTAATCATATATTATTGCAAGAAAAGGTGGCCCTTCGATTAATAAATTGAAGACATAAAGCTGAGGCTGACTTAGCAGAATTCAATAGAGCCTGGGTATTTAACCGATATCAAAAATGGAAAGCTTGAAAAATAAATTCTCAGCAAATTATTTTAAATCTACAAAATAATCTGCTTATTAATCCACCAAATATGGCAGAAGCTAGACGTCAACTGATATATAATACAATGGCAACTATTTTTGCTAAACATGAACAATATACTGGGCAGGAATCACCTGATGAGTACTTAGATAAAATTTGGAATTCTATATAATTCTATATCACATTTAGAGCCAAATATGATAGCACTTGAAAATGCTAACACAGGAGACTTTAATAATGCAATTAAATTTGGTTTTTTAAAATTCAACTTAGGAGGAAAGTATATACCAGTTCCTAATAACAATCCATAAATAGCTACTAATCATGCTATTAATTCTTCAGCTACTTTACGAATATGGATGAGAGCAAAATATCAGCATGAAATAATAGGTAGTCAATAAGTAGCCTTTCAGAAATTAACTCAAGAAAGATTTTTACTTAGCGATTCATCTGATACATATGAAAAAAGAATTCGACCTTTATTATTAGGTATTCCAAATAATAATACACAAGTTTTAGGATTTATTAAAAGTACATTATCTGGTGATCTTTTTACATGGATGAGAATAGCTAATCCTAATAGTATAGATGCATTCTTTACACAATTAAAAGATTTGTGGTTAGAATGTAATCCAAGTGTGAATACAAGTCAAATACCTATACTACCTCAACCAGAACTTCAACCAGTATTACCTACTCTTGTTCAATCACAAAAAGATTCACAAGCTGAACATGAATTTATAGTTCGTCTTGCAAAGGATTTGGATTATTTAGATGTAGCAATGGATATCTCAACCTTAGGATCACATATCTGTGATGAACTTGGTAAAAGGTTATGATGAAAAGTATCTAATGTTAGAAGGACCCCTTCTCAGAATTAGAGGTTAGAAACACAAATGCTACAAAGAAAGCTATTAGAAAGGTAGTACAACAAGCACTAGTTAAACAAATTGTCCGTCTTTGCTCAGTATGTAGAAAGGCTGGCCATATAAAGATTAATTGCCCTGGAGTTAAGAGAATTAAAAAGGTTAATTATATATACCAAAATGTTGAGAAAGATCCAATTCCAAGAGGACCTCTTGATGACTCTAAAGAACCTGAAATAGAATATATATTTAAGGAGAAAGAAGATCACAAAGAGCCTGAAATAGAATACATACTTGAGGAAAAAGTAGAAGAAGATGACGAATATGTTGATAATGATGAACTACCTTAAATACCACTGACTGAAACTGCTATGCTATAAAAAAAAAAGTGTAAAAAGTATAGTACCTATGAAAAAGACTCACAAGAGGGAATCCCCTACTTCTAAGTCTCGTAAAAAAGCAGTACTCTTAGCATTTATAACTATGATTGAAGATTATGTTTTTCTAATAGTCTTAAAATCTATATTATCATCAGTTGTACAACATATTTCTAAAGAAATTCTTAAGGAAGGCTCTTAATATATTAATACATTAATACAATATACCATAAATTGAAAGATCAGATTCTGAATACGGCTATGAAAAATGATACTGTTAAGGAAAGGGAAAAGTATGGGAGGATGTTACAAATAAAATTATAGATGTTTTACATCTGCTAATCCAAGTTACAAATATAGAGCAAAACCTCTTATTCAAGTTCTAATAGAATTGAAGCCAGATGACCCTATGAATGATATAATATCAGTAGGTTCTAATACTCTAAACTATGCTATTAAGGCATATACACAACATGATTTAGCTGAAAAAAAAATAGTCAAAGATATTGGCCTCAGCCTTTAGAGATAAATTTTTTATAAATAAAGAATGCCGATGATGTTGTGACTATTTATTGTAAAATAGGAGGTTTGGTAATACCTTGTGCAATGATTGATACAGGCTCTGATTCTTCCATATTTTCAGATAATATTACTGAACTTGTCAAAGAGCTTTTAGGTATTAAAATTAATAGGAAAAAATTCATAGGCTTAATGGAGTTGCAAGTTAATCTATATCCATCGGCACTATGAATGATGTTTCCATAACAATTGGTTTTGGAGAAAATTCAGCTAATATTATAGATGATGTTTCTGTTGTATCTGCAGATAAGGATCGGAATGGAAATGCTAAATCTTTAGTAATTCTCAGTACTGAATGGCAATATTGAGTTGGATGGGAGCCTTTAATAAAAGGAGAATTTAAAGCTACATATAATGGAAAGACTATTACCATTCCCCTATCAGTTCACAAATCTTAACGTAATATCTTTACTGTGAAAAAAGAAGGTCCTAAAGAGAACAGTCCTATAGAAATTAAAAAAACTAGCTGATCGGACATGTCAATACTGTAAAAAGGAGTTCACATATCCCTATTTATTTTTACGCGATAAAAAAACTAAATGTTGGATTAATAGTGAGCTTACTAATTCTATATTGGATTATAGTTGAGTCAATGAAGAGTCTATGTTGAGTCATAGTTTAGATGATGTAGTATCTACATTGAGTTATAATCGAGTTAATGTAGAGTCTAAGATCAAACTGAAATGAATGTACTATGAACATATGAGCGAAATGTATATTTTTTTCAGATATCAGGATCATCTTTAGTATCATCACGCACTCTATTTCACAAATTTTGAGCATCCTTTTTCATAAAAGCTAGTTGGTTCTATAGTATCATCCATACAGCTAGGATCAATTTTCCATAATCCTTTATTATAAGCAATAATTGTCTTATTCTTTCTATAGATAATACCATCCAATACTTTAATAGTCTTTTTAGCAAAAGCGAAGTCTTTTTTCAGAGCATTCTTATAATTTTTAAGTTGAGAGATAGTAGCGGACAACTTGTCAATCTCCTTATCTTTTACAGCTATAGATTTTTCTAATGTAGAGATGTGAGATTTGTATTGCTTCTCCAAGTTATCTAAGCTGGATTTCTGTTGATTTTCTAGCTGATGCTTAAAGGAATATGTTGTCTGTTTCATATCTATCATGCATTTATTATATTCACCTTCTAAGTGATCCTTAAGAGCATTATACTCATCTTTTAGACATTTATGTTCCTTATAGACCTGAGCCTTAATAGTTTTTTTAATATTGTTTTCCTTCTGTCTTAGTAGAGCTTCACGCTCCCCTAACTGTTTTTCTAAGCCATCTAATCGGGAAAAGTATTGCTACCATCAGAAGTAGTATTTGCTTCAATCTTAATTTTTTTTCGATATTTACTTTTATAATACCTATTAATATTACTAGTGAGCAACTCCTTTATATCAGAATGAATTCCTCTAGCCTGTTCCTCAGATAGTAGGTTATTTTTGCGGGTTGTAAGACGTAACCATACTTCTTTTTTTATGAATGGAGGTATTTGGTCAAGCAAACTCTTATAGTGATCATTAAATTGTGGTTGATTGGTCATATAATTGATTATGATTAGCACATTCAGTAAGGTATTATAATCTTGGAAAAAAAAATTCAAAAAGTTCAGAAATTTCATATTTTTTCTAAAATTTGGGTATTTCATTTAATTCTGACATAACTTTTCACCTTAAAATTGGTTAAAAATTTGCCGAGGCCTAGATTTCAGAAAATTTTATTATCTGAAGAAAAAAAATTTACGCATCAGTTTCATAATATATCTGGAAGATCAGTTAGATATATTAGTTCCGTTCAAGAATTTTATGTAATATCCTGACCAATGGTCAGCAAGAAATAAAATATGTATATTTATGAAATTGACTACCAGGTCATTTTAATAATACAGTAATATAAATAAATACAAAGGTTTGGAAACTTGTCCATGATACATGGTATTTCTATGATACAATATATGGAATTACACCAACTATTTATTATATGGAGGCGTGAAAACGGTAGAACTTGGATTAATATTTCGGGGTGGATGAAAGGTAGCTTGTTCTAATGCCAGCATTATAAGACTCCTGTTTATGATCATTACATTTCTTAAGGTTAAAAGTAAACAAATGAGAGATTTCAAGCGTGACTGGTAAGGGGATAACGGAATTTCCATATGATCTAGATGGAAGTATCTTGGTATACCAGCCAAATCCTTCACAAGAATATTTAGATACATAGTTGTACCTGCGATCTGAATTCCCACAACACCAAATTAATTGCCAACTGGTTTACATAATGCACTGATATAACTTGCCCCATCCAATGTTTCTCTCCATAACTTAACCTTTCATCTGATTTTTTTGTTACTACATATGATATGTGATGATTCGGTATACAATAGCTCAATAATTTTTTCATCTTGCTTTACTAAACCCATAATATCAGGTTTTTTTCTCATCCGCTCTCCAATTATTCCTAGATTCCTCTGAGCCTTGCTTGCTATACTTTAATATTCAGCTGTGCTTAGACAAATAGCATCATTCGGAAGATCGCTCAAACTCGTTCGAAGTAAAGAAATTATGACATCTGTCATATATGTCTCTTCACTCTACTCACTGCGGGATGTACTGGTCATAAATGCAGGATTGCTCTATATTTCATTACTGATAAAAGAAAACGTAATTAATACAGTGATGTTCCATCAAATATTGAATAAGCAAGTAACTTACATTATGCATAGAATATGTTCCGTTATCTTTACTAAATCCGTCTCACTTTGTTTCCATTTTTTATTGTGAAGTATGTTCTTCATAAACCTTGCATTCTTCACATCATTGAAAACTTCCACAAAATTAATACACTTAGTGATAACTGAATCAGGAAGGATACATTTTATATTTTCTTGAGATTTCATGAAGATATTTTTTTGCCTACTTTCCAAGTTTTTCATGATGTTTGAATTATCACTTAAAACCATGCTTGCTTCAGAATTCTGCCATGTGAGATCTAAGAGTCTATACTCGCTAAACTTTGTTTAAGTGAACCATAAAGATTTATGTCTGCTTCTGTTGTAGAATGCTAAGCAGAAAAGCTTGTTAATTTTAAATCATAAGAAATTTCCAAATGGCGTAATAATCACTTCAAGTTTAGATTTTAACATATTAAGATTTTGTTCTATTTCTTCCTGAGTATGGTTCATAGGTAATTCTCTATCCATATTCAATACTTTTAATACTTTTAGTTCACAATCACTAATATATTTACTCTCCACCTACAGTAGATGTGATAAAAGGTATCAGTACATTATTCCCATCCTAAATTTATGAATTATAATTCCTGCCATACGTGTATTTTCAGAAACTTTTAAAAAGGCATATCATTATTATTTAGGCTATATAGTCACGCATAGTAGAAAGGAGCAGAAACCCTCAACATCCTAAGACATTAATCTTCTGGGCCGGCACTCCCTGACCTTCAGCTATGATAAACCAAACTATACTAAAGCCTACATCTACTATAACGCTCATCATTAAAGTAAGAAACAGAAACAAAATCTCATTTATGTTCATACCTGTGGTAATATTTCTAATACATTAGTTCTTCGACCAAGATTTGTTAGCTTCGCTAACGATGAATTGACCGCCCGGTCAACTATTTTCCGTACTTTCTCATATGGAGGTAGAATATTATTCTCTATTGTTAAATAAACTACGGACGCTCCACAAAGAGTATCAAATGATTCTTGTAATAAAAGAGCTTCAACCTTAGCTACTAAATTCAACATAGTAAAAAATATTAATAAGTATACTTATATAATGTGAGGTTATCAAGAACAAAACAAAGTTTTTTTTCATACTGCCTTTTAAATGAATCCATTTATGTTCTCTCTGGACTTGTATTCATATTGGGAAGAAGAGACAGAAGATTATGCAATAGACACTTACACCAAAATTTTGCATTAGAAAATAAGAATATGTGAAAATACGCATTGAAGATCTAAGGTGTTGGGGTAATGCATATATAATTTTTTTTTTGTCTGTTCAGATTAGGATAGATTATCTCCTGCAGGTCTATGATTGAAGGAGGGAGAAAAAAGTTCAAAATATCCCCTTCAATCAAAGATCTTCAGGGCTAATAGCTATTAGGGTTTATCTCCTACATCAAAGGAGAGGTCGATTTATGTATAAAATTATTTTATCACACAAGCAGATGGTCGCACTTGCATAGATGATTGGCAGTGTATTACTATTACATCATATTTTAACGAGGATCAGAAACATGTTTATTCATGCTTTAGTAGCTTAACAGCTGTCGCATTTGTTTACATGCATTAGCTGTCTGTAAGGTGTAAGCAAATATGCAAAACGTCTATAGCTATTTTTTATTGATATTTTTGCCGATCACTTTTGCCAAGAAAAAATATAATAAGTTATATACCAAATAAAGTAATGGTCTACATTTTTCAAAATTAGTCAGTCGTCCAGTTAAACAATCGTGATTTCTACCCCATTTCTTAACTTTATCGTAGCACCTTTTAATTGATTAAGATAGTTTATGGATGGTAGCAAGTTATTCTGTTTTGCATTTCGAGATGAGATAAATATTTCGCTTGTATTGGTTTTGTAATTTGAGGATCGATAAGAAGCTGGTGAAAATATTTCTTGCTTGGCAGGTGAAATACCAAATGGCTTAACACTACATTCCTGGTCCCAATAATTTTTCATCAAGTCTTCAGACTTTACTTCATAGCCCCATCTGCATCATCTATCATAATATACCTTCCTTGGCTCTACTTCGGTAATTTTTATCAATTTCCAGCATTTAAAGCAGATAGCCATTTAACTTTTATGAACACTAGGTCTACGTTACTCATGTGGAATATCTCTTAATCCATCAATATCATAGTCATAGAACGTCTTGTTTTTTCCTTGTTCAAATGAGGCGAAAAGACAGTATATATGGTATAAACTATATTCTCGTTTAGAAAGTACCTCTTGCAGAGCACTTCTTATATGAAAAGCCCATTGCTGTGGCATTTCATGAGGTCTAATAATAGATAAATAATTATATTGTCTTTCTATTTCAACCACTTTTTCAAGCCTATAGGTATCATTATAAATCTGAACGTTATGAACATGCTTCAAATCATATCCAGGACGAAGATTGATAGGTTTAGATACAGCTTTATTATAAATGTTATCTAAAATGATTTTAACCATTTGTTCAGGCATATTTGATAACTATATGTAATTACAGACAATAAATAAGACTTATAGCAATTTTAGTGATATATAGCGTTTTTAGTAAATATTTAGTGTTGTAGTAGTTTGTAGCAAGTATTTATAATAAAATATCAGATTTATTTTTTATTCAATTACAAGTATATCAGGATTTAGCCGAAGGTGCTGTACATATTCACATGCATGTAAATCAGTTTGTAGATCTCTGGGATTTTCCCGATATATTATAATTCAGTTAAATTAGTTCCGAGATAATATAATAGCTAAATAATTCTCAGATCCATAACGTATATCATATTACAGGAATCCACTCTGACCCCTGCCAGTTCTATGACACTCTCCAGGAACTATCATGACGCTGAGATGTTTCTCAAATTACGATTCTCAAAATCATAAGATGATCAGCTAATCGAATTCTGTATAGCACTTAAGCCACCATTATTATTTGATTAATCATCTCAAATATCTTTAATATATCATTTGGTATTTCTCATAAAATAATCCCCACCCCTCACACTGATTTTTCATCATGTAAAAATGTCTTCTGACAGATGGAATGGTACCCAGGTTCGCTTCCTCATAAATGAAAGAAAAGAAAAAAATTCTGAATTCCACTCCACTTCAAATAAAAAGAAACGTCTCTTTTAGGAAGATATTGCTAGAAAGCTAAACGAGCAAGAGAATACAAATTATTTTACTAGTGAAGACTGTCAAAAGAAATTCAATAATCTCAAGAAAGTTTATAAAGTAAGTAACTCTTGCTTAGCTCTACGAAGAATTTGGCCGATAATATTCTTATTTTCATTATTTATTAGACAGCTGTAAAATATAGAAAGGGTGGGAAAAAAAGGAGTTTAATAGGAGAGAAAATCTATAAGGAGTTCTCTAGCGAATTTTAGTTAAAGCCTAGTAACTACACTTTTGAGAATCTGATATTTCTCAATCGCTAGTGATCTTTATTAATATCAATATATTTTAATTTTACTAGATCTTCCATTTGAACGAACACACAATGAAAGCGTTAAAAGGTTAAGCGAAGCGACCTCATCATTATCAGATCCTGTACAATCAAGACCACAAATATCATCATCTAAAACTGTCGAAAATTCTCCTGTATCATTAATACCGCTAATACTATCAACTATCGAAACACCTCCTATCTCCAGACCCATGACTCCAACTATCCCTTCTTTTTCACAAAATGCGAATATAATCAATATTACCATCAATTATGATGAAAGGTCAAGCGAACAGCAGGAATAAGGTTTACGTTAGTATAGAATAGCATTTTAACAGTTTAGAGATTGCAAAGCAAATATTTATTGTAAAACTCGTTTTAGATATAATTCTGATTATAAAAGAAAATTATATGACTAGAATTTCAGCTGGGCCCTGCCAAAACAATAGCCAAGATTTTTTTTAGACAGATTATTTTTATTATGTAAAATGCATACAAAAAGATATTTTTTTCATATTTCTAGATATATAAAATATAATAAATTTTTGTGGAGTTGCATGGGAAAATACAGTCAGACCCAAAGCCTGTTCTGAAAGACAATGACTGCTTCTATTCTTTGACCCCCTAACTATCGCCATTATTGCCATTATCACTATTACTACTGCTACTACTAGAATCTCTCCTTCCTTCTCTATTAACCTATGTTTCTATTTTATCTAAGGAAGTAGTCCTTGGTATTTTTTGGTAGTGGTAGAAACTCGCCAAAGTCGCAGAACTTAAACGTAATTCCTGGGAAATTACATTGTATAACTGTGTATAGAAGCACTCCTCCCTCCTTCTTCTTTGATTAAATAAAGCTGTGAATTCTACCCATAAAGTTTGAACTTCATCGGAATATTCTGAATATTAGCTGGTAGATATATGACTTGTGAAAGAATATCTGTTTGATCCAGCTAGAGAGAATAATAAAACATAAATTAGATTATGGGATCTTCTTAAGAAAACTGGATTGCAAAATGGTTGGATCCTTAAAATCAA